CCCCCCTACTCTCACACACTCGCACACACACACACACACACACACACACACACACACACACACACACAAGGTCTCATGTTTGTGGAAGAGAAGTGAGGAGAATAAGCAGTGTCCCGTCGCTATGGTTACCCATCTTCCAGTCAGTGAGGAAGATCCACTGCAACTCATATGCAAGTCAAGTCTAACGCATTTGGATGTGTAATGCAGCCTCGCATTGTTTTTAACAACATTATCCATCGGTTTCAGTAATAAAGTCAGTATTTCTAGCAGGAGAGGGTGTCAAATATAAAGACATCAGATGTCAAATGGTTAGAGCTGAAGAATAGAGAACATGGATCACATTCTACTTACACGACGAACAACGGGACCTATACAGATGTACTGTGATCCGTTCAGTGTCTTCGATATTATTTATTCATTCACAGTTTCATTTTGGTGCCGCATTAATACGCTCATCTGACAGATTCACACCGCTACACGGGCGCCGCCATGTTGTTCAAATCACTCGAACTTTATTTAAAACTAAAACACCCGCGCTTGAGGAACGATGGAGTAGATTTCAACAGCATTTTAAAGTTAAAATTATTCTATCTAATGCACTCTGAAGACAGGCGGAAGCATTCTTCACTGGCATTCTCTTCTAAACATATGCATTTCCTTTGGCTTTTTATTACTTTTATTATTGTAAAGAATTAGACAGCAAACGAAACATACTACTTATTCACGCTCTTAAAGGGATAGTTCACCCAAAAATGTGTCATCAAAAAAAAGTCTCGGTGCGTCGCATACCGAGTAGGTATAGTACATCTGAATTTGAACTTACTTTGTGAGTGTTAAAAAAAAGTACATTCTAGAATATGAGTAGTATGAATGAAATTCGGACATCCGCCATTTTGTTACTGCCATGTGACCTACCAGAATGCATAAATCCTCTCAGATGGGTCCATGGAATGCATTGTACACTAGTACACAGATCTGTAGAACAATAGGTTACAGAATGAAATGAAATATGCAACACTAGCTAGGCTATGAAAAAGTCTATGCTATTTCATTCCGTTTAGAAGTTAAATGCTAAAAACATTCATAAGAGCACTAGACAAAGTTACCATATAGCAATGATTATTATAACCGTAATATGTATTGTTGCATCATGAATAATAAACAAATTATCCACCCTTAACCGGTTAAAGGGGTCATATGATGCGATTTCAAGTTTTCCTTTCTCTTTGGAGTGTTACAAGCTCTTGGTGCATAAAGAAGATCTGTAAAGTTGCAAAGACTAAAGTCTCAAATCCAAAGAGATATTCTTTATAAAAGTTAAGAGTCAGCCACACCTACCTAAAACGCTCGTTCTAACACGCCCCACATATCTACATCACTGTAATATAACCATGCTATCACGCTCAGGGAAAATATTTTTCAGAAAAGACAGAAAGAGTTGTTGAGGCTTAAAGGTAGTGATATTGAAGTCACGTGACCGTGGTGTAGTTTGTTTATGGCTTACGTTTAGCTTTGAACTTCTGGCGATTGCATGTTAGGCATCATATGACATGCAATTCATCTTAATTTAAATGTTAAGCATGAGTCTATAAATCACATATCTTATGATCACATATCTTAAAGGTCCCCTGAAATGCTTAGAAACACGCAGTGTTACTCTGTGTTGACGTCATTTGAACTGAAACAGGAAGACAGGGCGGGACATATCAAGCAGCCCCGCCCCTTTTTAAAATAGCCAATAGCGTTCGTTTATATCACAGCTTGGGCTAGAAGCCGTTGAGCTCCATAAAGCCGCATTTGACAGCCACAATCTCATCCATATTGCTATAAAATATAGCATTCTGTGTAGAATTGAAATAGCTCTGATACATTTTGTGGTCTGCGGCGACTCGCTCATGTGATCCGCTCCGTGCTATCGTGTCTCTGGACCGGAGCAGAGGGTGGTTAGTGGGACACAGCGCCAAACCAGACTTCTTTTCCTCAATGGAAAGCATATTTACACTGTTTGAATCGTTCCCTGTCCCCTATATAGTGCACTACATGCCATTCACTGTACAGAAAATACTAATTCTGTGGACAAGTGACCGATTTCAGCCGCGGCTTCAGCGTCTATTTTATAGTGTAGGGGGCGGGGCTTCGGCTTCTAGAGAGCATTTGATTGGACAGAAAGTTTGATGAGAAGCTGAAGTACAATGTGACATCAAAAAATCATTAAGCCGTTTTGGCGGAAGTGACGAACTGCAAGCTTTGAATGCTTATATCTTCTAAATGCGAATTTTGTCACTGTTTTGGAGCACACTGCCTTATAGATAACCTTAAGACTAACATATTGATACTAACACCCAAAAAACTTAAATTTTGATTTCATGGGGACTTTAAGATTTTCACTTAGGGCTTTTTCTGAACTTGTCTTTCAGTCTTACAGTAAGAGGGAGTGATTTGGAAGTCAGCTGCCTCGTTTGATGCTGTAACCTGTTTTAACAAACCCTGACTATATATATCAGTGAAGATTCAAGATGCTGTAAAAAGCACAAATATTTCAACTGTATCATCTAATCATCCACATGAGCCATTGCTGCTTGGCCTGCAGTGATTGCCACTTAGAGCTATGTTTTTATTAGTGTAGTGTTATTATAGTTTTATAACATTATCAGAATTTTCTTCATCTTTGAATCTGGCACTGAGGCATCACACCGAGCGGCACAGTATTCTGTCATATAGCTGCCAGGCATGAAAATTCAGTGCTGGATGGTTTTCCCTGTTACCGTAGCAACCCTTTTATCTCTCAATAGCAGATTGTTTTCTGTTGAAGCATTCAGATTTGTGAAATCGGCAGCGAAGCACAGGCTCCATTTCACACCAAATGAAACAAACAGAGCATTAACTCCTTTACTGGAAGGTCAGTGAAGTTCAGTCATATCTTCACCCCCCGAAGGCTGTCATATGTTTTAAAAATCCGTCTGCGGTGAAACTGCACCTGATGATTAGATTTCTTTTGTTTATGTCAAACTGAAGGTGCCTCTTTCTTTCAGATAATACTAATAAAAATGACAAAGTTACACAAAAATTACATTAAAATATAAAAATTAAAACTAAATCGAAATAAAAATGACAAAAACATAACAAAATTACAAATGCTTTCACTAAAATTAACTGCAAATTAAAAGAAAGAAAAATTCACAACTAATATAAATGACAAACATATATTTAAAAAAAACAAAACTGAAAAAGCATGGTCATTTTCTACCCAGACATTATGCAGTAACTTCACTGACATTTCCATGTACAACAAACATCTAAAAAATAATATTAAACATTAAAGTTACTAAAACTAAAATTAACAATAAAACAGAAAATATAAGCAAACTGCACTAAACAAATACATAAACTATCTGCACGAATCAGTTTTTTCCACACTCTCGTTTTCTTACGATGGTCATAATGGACGTTTGCCATAATTTCCTCTGCTTGCCAAAGTTCATGTCATGATAATAAGCGCAATAAGCAAAAAGTATAGATAATTATTCATTTTATTAGTGATGTTTACTTATTAAACATCACCTGTTGCTCAGGGTTATGGATAGCCTGTAAATGATTAAAATATGTCCTCTCTACTTCTTAAACCCCATATGCAGCATACTGAACAATACCTTTTATCAAAGAAGCAACCTGCACACATTCTACAGATGTGGTTGGATCTGACTGTTCCTGCCTCAGTGTTATGAAGATCTCTTAGTCAGGAACTGGTTATAATTATGTGAAATGCCCATTTCCCTGATCCTATTTCCTCATTGCTGTCTCCTCTCGGGCCCCGGGCATCTGTGTGATTTTCTCTCTGATGAATGATGCTCAGCGCCTCGGGCTCTGTACAATGAAGTCAAAATCTGAGATGAAATCTTCCTCCCTCATTTCCTTCCCTTTCCTCTCCTATTTGTCCTGTTTAGCTGTGTGTTCAGTGACGGATCACCATTATCATCCTCTGCAGCCCCATCTCATGAGAAAACACGAGTGGTGATGTCCTATGAATTTGTACGAAAACAGATGATATTTTGACAAATAAGCAAGGATGAAGGTCTAACCCTAAATTTAATCGTAAATGAAGCCTGCATCTGCTTTCATCGCATTTCTTCCACTCTGACCGAATTGTGCATGTGCTAATTCTACAGACAGATAACATGCTATACTCATTCACAAAACATGGAACTTGCAGGGAGCTCAGAAAATATAGTTTGGAGTTATCACCCATCAGAAATAGGGTGGCCATATGTGCCATTAATACGGGACATGTCCTGGCCAGGATTTTTATATTGCCCAAAACATCCAAAGTAGTTTGACCAATAACATGCAGGTACACATTCTAAAATATGCTGGGTTAAATACAACCCAGTGTTGGGTAAAATAGGGACAAACCCAGCAATTGGGTTGTTTTGACCCAGTGGTTGGGTTACTACCCAGAAGGTTGGGTTAAACATTTAACCCAACCACTGGGTCAAACCAGCCCAATTGCTGGGTTTGTCCCTATTTACCCAGCACTGGGTTGTATTTAACCCAGCATTTTTTAAGAGTGTATTGTTCATAATCGACCAATCGTGGCGCGTCGCGCTTGAGAAGGTCAAAGCGATGCAAATACACGCACGTGTTTGTTCGTTCGTTCGACTTGAAGTTCGATTTCAAATCGTACCGCGAGAGCGATTTGAAAGCATAAGGAGCCGTCTGCTCTGCTCTCTAGCTCTCATGAAATAATGTCATACAATGATCGATCTGCACAGTGCTAACAACCAAAACCTGGATATTTTAGGCAATATAGAAATCCTGGCAAGGGTGCGTCCCATAAAAATGGCCACCAATATGGTCACCCAATCAGAAAGCTTCTTGCTACATTTCGTTGCACTCCCTAAACCCCAAATGCTTTTTAGCCCAATTATTCTTCAAAAACACATTGCTGGGTTCTAAAAGCAGCCTCGCATTATACTGAGTTTTCACTCTAAAAGCGCCATCATTTGCAAATGATTAAATAGTTTTTCGTCTCTACGTGAGCACTTTCCTAGATGTTCTTATCTTTCTACTTTAGTTTAACAAGTACACAAATCAAGTACCTGAGTGGAAGCACAGATACCATAATAAAATATTACTCCAGTAAATGTATAAGTCATTTTCAATTTTACTTGAGCAGAAATAAGTACTTGATTTTTAATGTACTTGAGTATTTAAAGTAAAAAGTACTGGTTAATGAACCGTTTATTTTTTATTCTAGCGAGTACCTGTCAGACTAGTCATTAGTCAACACTAATAAGAAATATTACCACAGAAATGTAATATGTGGAGGTAAATCGGGACACTTTTTGGCATGGAAATGACTGGGAAATAAGCAAACTTTCAAATGTATTTTCAAAACTTACAATATTCTATGAAAACATGAAACTTAAATATATTAAAATACTGTATAAATATGTATGCATTTAAGTGGTACTACTTAAAGGG